CACAACAATTCAATTAAAAAAATAAATCCTCATAGAAATAACTTGTGATGATTCTGTAATGGGTGCTCTGAAGCCCTGCAGAAGTGATTAAACTTTCAGGTTCTTAGAAATCCGTGAACATGGTTGCAGGCTAAATTTTGGAAAATAAAGAAAAATCTCTGATATTCCTTCTTGAACTGAAGAGACTAATTGAGCATATGACTCACCACTGCTTTATGTCAGTATAAATATCATTGATTTCCTTGGAACTACATTAGCATAAACCAGACATAATATGTTGTAGTGATTCAGGCAGGAGTTTATGGTACAATTATGCTATTTCTACTAAAACAAATGATTGCAGCAGATATTCCTTCGTTCCACTAACTTACTGCTGACTGTGATACCTTTCTTGAAAAAGCATTACTGCTTTGTTGAGCAAATGAACTTCTGTAAAGTAATGGCATGCTCAAGAAACATTTGTTCTAGATTTTAGTAGGAAAGGGGTTTTTACCTGAGGAATTGTACCAGTATATGGGGGTGTAGAGTTAAAAAAACCCACAAAAAAATCTAACTACAAAACCAACAGATTACCTTAATTCATTATAATAGAACAGAATTCTATTTTTTTCTTTAGGTTTTGTTGATTCATCCATTTCATTACATATGTAAAAATTTGGTAGGAGGGAATTGTTTTTACAGAATTTCTTTGTCCTTCTTAATCCCCTTCTCCAAGGTCATTTTTCCCCCTAGACAGGGAAGAGCTTAGTCCATTATTTGTTCAGAAGTTTACTAGCAAATATTTGTCTTCCATTTTGAAAATTTTAAGCAGTGTACTTGCAGGGGAAGAGGTTGCTCGTTTGTTCTGAAGTATGCTTATTTCAAGGGGCAGTTGGAATCATTGGGCTGGTACCTCTTAGGGCATTTAAAACAGGTCAAAGATCAAAAAGAGGAAAAGAAAAGAAGAGACCATGCATTTGTGCCAAGGTAGTTATCTGGAAATCTGAATACAACCCTTTTTGTGTAAAGGACTGCTAAGTCAGCAGGACCTTTGAGTAGGAGCTACCACTGCTTTCCCTGACGCCACTGTACCAAGGTGCGACCCAGGTGTCCTTGGCCGCGTTTCTTCAAAACACAAGTAATGAACCAGAGCAAGGTAACTCTTCAGAAAGACACATCTCAAACCTGTGAGGTGTGATAGACTAAAGAAGACAGTTTGAAAATAAGTTTTCCCCTGAACCCTATGTCCTCATGGGAGCAGGTCTCTCTCCTGGTTCTGCTACGAAGTGTCTCCGCTCCACCTGGCCGAGCAGCCCCCCACAGCCACTGCCGAGCCTGTAAGGCAGCCCAACACTGGCCCTGCAGGTCTTGTCTGCTTTGGGATCCCATCCCATCTGTTCCTCTGTCCTCCAGCCAGCGCCTGCATGGTGGGAGCATGGCTTCCTGCCCCATCTCCATCTCAACGTCTGACTGTACCCAGGTCATCTCAGCCAGCACTGTCAGCAGCTTCCATCTCTGTTGCACAATGACACCCCCACATCCCTTTTTTGATTTGTCAACAGAAAAAGCAATAGGCAGAACTCACCAAATTGGAAATAGCTAGCAAAGCAGAGAGTAACCTGTTTTTCTGCTTGTACACATCATCACCTTGAGCATATTTGGCTTTGGTGTGGTTTCCTTTGGTTTTGGTTTTCTCCATTTTTTTTTTCGTGTGTGTGTGAGATTTTAGATACCATTGGCTGCTTCAGTTATTCTTGTAGGAAAGAGATGTGTGTTACTGGAAAATTATAAACTGTCACTTTGCTGTTTACCAAGATTTTTCCCAATAAAGGGGGACAAAAAGGGCTTAAGAAAAAGAAGATGCATGAGAAAACTTTCTTCGCTAGAAAGGTAGACTGTGTCAGGTCCTGGATGCATCAGCAAAAAAGGTTAAAGATGCCATATATAAAAGACGCATTTTTTGATTTCTTTAGCTTTCTCCCAGGATTTTGCAGGCCATTTTTAGTCATAAGCTTCTTTACTATATAAAAGTTACAGATCTTTCTTGGAGACACATCTGAGCTGGCAACATCCTATAATTAAGGATAGCCTCAACCTTAAGTGAACTGCCTCTGCAGAAAGTTTTCACACCCAGGCTGTATTTGAGAGTATTGTTTAGGAAACAGCTCTGTAAGCCTCTGCCAGCAAAAGAAAAAAAATCCAGCAACATTCATTTCCTTAAAATGACTTTTAACCGGGTTTTTTAGCAACATGATGGACATAAAAAGCAGAGTTGAACCAGGAAAAGGATAATTCAGGAAAAATAATGGGTGTATGAGAATGGCTGTGCTCTGAAATGGAAACGTCCATTTCCTGTCCAAATAATGGATTTGTGTGAGAACCTTGAAGCCTTTCAGCTTTCTTTTTTCTTTCATTAAAATGAAACTTTCAGGTTTCTGCAAATAATATCACTTTCTGGAAAGTAATAAAATAAGAGACTTCAACAGGAGGGCAAGAACAAAATTGAAAGAAATAGTCAACCACAAAATGTTAGTACATCAAATTCTTAAAAGCTCAAATGTAATTTACTACTTTCCTTTGTGAATTAGTTTCTTTCACATCTGTCAAATGCTGTCTTCTGTGTTATTACTGGATGAAAATGCATAGACTAATTATCAACAAAATGTGAATAGAAATCCAATACTAACTTCCTATTATAAAAGTAGAAGAAATTATAAAATATTTTTAAGGATATTTTTGATACCTTATTGAGCTAATCAGTGGCAAATATTTACAGTCAAGATCACTGAACAGAAAAGGTTTAGATAGAAGCAAAAGGCACGGTGATAACTGTTATCATTAAGCAACCATGTAAATAAAAATATAAGCAAAATAATTATTTGGATATTTTCTTGGGTTTATTTGTTGGGGATTTCTCTCTCTTTTTAAAATAGATCAACTTGGCTTTTTTCATTGTCTTCATAACTATCTTCAGCTCACTTTTTGGTCATATTTTCCAGTTTTGTTTTATTCAAAAAGACAGAGGAGTACTTTTAATGAGTGCTTTAAGGATTTCCCCCTCCACATGCACATGCACATGCGCAAACTCCACTAAAGTTGAACGAGGAGACTTGAGCAGGCAGACTCTCCTGCTGTGAGCATATCAGAGGAATGTTACTTACACAGCGAACGGAAAAAAATGCAACAAACCTTCTTATCTCCTACCAACACACCTTTGGCCTGAGAGCCGTCAGTAGTAGTACTTCATGGTGCCTGGTTCAAAATTTGTTCAGCAGTGTTCTTTCTTCCACTGCCTTAAGCAGAACTTGATACTATTAGTACATCTCACCATTAGCTTATTCTGTCACTAAAGGCAGTTTTTCTGTATTCAGATGGCATCCATTACTCATTATTAATAATCCCTGAAAAAAGCTGACACCCCCTCTCCCCCTTCCCAAATCTCAATATTTAGCATTGCCTAGCCTTCACATTACAGCTGTGGGTTTTATCACTGACAGTCTTTAGCTTCCTGACCCATTTAGATGACCAGTTGTGGTCCAGTTCCAAAAAATGTAAATAATTTTCCATTTCCAGAAATGTAGAAACATAATCCTATATCTAAAGATTCCTGAATACACATCCTATTGCAAAGATTGACGTTTTGGGGTTGAAGCATTTCATCATAGGACTATAATTTATATAGCATAGTCTCTTGGAAGCCAGTATGTTTAACAATAAAAAATTATCGAGAACTTGAGCATGTGGGTTATATCTTCTTTACTTTTCTACATTTGGGAAAACCTTTTAGATTCAACTTTTTTTTTCCTCTCTGAATCATCTTTACCAATATATCCCCAAAACATGATTGTATTTCATTCACAACTTTTTCCTTTCTCTTTGGAGGAATACCTGGTGTTAACTTAACTTCTTCTCTGAGGTTAATGAATACAAACTGAAGAATCCTACCCATTGTCTACAGGCATGCCTATAGATTAATCCAATTTGGGGGGCTTTATTTGTTCAATTAGATTAGATGCAGAATAGGAAAAAGCAAATTGAATTATTGTGTCTTTATCCAGCTGTACCACTCAGCCACCCTGCTTAAAGAAACATAGAATGGTGAATGGAAAAAGAGGTAATTTCCTCAGTGGTAGTGCACTGGCAACGGAGGGGGGGGCCTTCATCCATAGAGAAATAGGGAGTTGTATCACTTGTTACTGAATTGTCATCTGGGTTGGCTAACCTGGTTTCTACAGGGTTAGAGTTAATCTACAGGGATGCTCAGACCAAGTGCAAAATATACTCAAACCTCCTTCCTCCCAGCCCGCTTGCTTCATTATCTTCACTGGAAATTCACTGAAACTAAATAACCTTTTTGCCCTGCCCGTTTTCCCGTTCATCATGTTAGTATGTAAAGAAGTGGTACCTGGAGTGGTCTCCTTTTTATCTGTCTTCTGCTTCACTCTATGCCACAGTCAAAGCCTTTTTTCTGGCGGTAGCAGCAGTCTGCAAGTATATTTGCCACTCTTCCTGCGCTATTGCTACAGGCCTATCTATTAAATCTTAAATACTAATGAATCATTTAAAAGGGTATTAACATATTGTGCTGCCCCTATATGTATGTCTTATTCTTCACAGTTTTATAGCAATTTCCATTAAAAAACCTCATTACAGAGATTATTGCGACATGCTTTGAAACAGCAGTATTCATTACATATTATCTATGTGTTGGAGTTTGGGAAATTAATGCACCAGGAAATGAAATGACTCACCCAGGGTCACTGAAGATGTATGTTCAAGTCATGATTAAAATCCAAGCTGTAGATCTCCATTGTGTTTACTGCACAATCATTTTTGCTCTTTCTCTTTCTTTCTATTTTTTTTTTTCTTTTAAACCACATCCTACAGTTGTACATTCAGCTGGAAAATTCCACTCTGCTGCTTTTGTTGTCAAACTGTAATTGACATTTAGCCAACAATTAGTTAACTATGTCTTGTTTGTCTTTGTGAGCCTTCCCTTCCTTTGTTTTGGTGTTCAAAGGATGGAGAGAAAGTGGGATTACTGGGAGAGAAGAGACAGGCTGTGGGGAATGGAGGGAAGAGGACCAGAGAGACAGAGGCCAAGGAATTCCTCAAATGATGGAGTGACTGTGAGAGGTGCTGCTGCTGCTGTGAGAGTCTCTTACCCACAGATGATCAGAGATATGCAGACTTTCCAGCCTTTTAGTGCTGCGAAGATAGGGAGAAATGGAGGTTAGAAGTAAGGGAGGTATGAGGATAGGCTGGAAGGGAGGGGGCTGCACAGCGGACCTTCCCTTATACTATTTGCTCTGATACGTCCACTGCTCGGGAAGGTAGGGTGGAGATGGTGTGTGTTTCTCTTCTTACAGGTTACATTTTCTGCAAAAATATGATACTTTAAGTGTGTGTCTGCTCCCAAACTATACTAGATGAGTCAACTTTCACAGTGCCTACAGCTTTCTGATTTGTGACATGCAGGTATGTTGCCCAGGTGTCTGGAGGGGACTTGTATCGCAGCCTTTAGAGGGAGATCCAGTAATGCTCTGGTTGCAGGCTCCTTTTCTTAGGAGGTATGACAAGGGACCCTGTTCTTGGGACTAGCTGACCAAGAATCCCTGACATTTGTAGTAACTGTGTCTGTTGTACAGCAAATAAATGTCATTAGACAATATATTATATCATCAATGCTTAATAATCTTGTGGGGTTGGACAGTAATTTCTTGACTCTTGTTTTTCTTTCAATGCCAGATGGAGGGAAATGAGCATGAAATTCAGAGCAAAAACATTGTAGTTTATATTTATAAACAGATGAGTGAGGAATAATTCCCATTTAAGGGAATTTGTCTTCATTTTTGAGACTTCCTGAATACTTTATCTCATTTTTACTTAAAGAGAACAGATTTGTAAAAGACTTCATTTGTAAATAATAATAGCAAAAAAAATTAACATATGTTTATCTTTTTCATTCCACTTTAGATTTTGTGGAACACGACTCATCTGTAAACTAATATATATATATATATATATATATGTAAAATGACATAAAGAACAGTATTTCAAGCTTTGTCTTTTTGCCTAGTTTGCAACTGCAATTTGAGAACAACTAGCCACTGAGGTTCAAAGTTTAAAGTGGGGAACATATAAATCCTGTGTGGATGGTTTAAAGACCACTATGCCAAAGAGCATCCAGGAACTGGACCTCTTCAGCTGACAATATCCTTTCTTTGCCAATACAAAATCTGCAGTTTAGTTTCTGAAGCTTCCATTTATTGCTTTTCTTATCAGAAATATTTCTATTTCCTGAGACAAGCTTAATGTAAATTAATCTTTTGATCTGTTTGGAAAGATAACTTTGTAATGCAAATAAAGCAAGATTCAGTCTTCAATTCTCTTCTATTTTACTCTCAGCATCAGATGGACTACTGACGATCTAGGTGTACTTTGTGAATCCAGACAAGGTAGAGCACAAATAAGTGCAACCACAACAATGGAGAATTACAGATCTAACTAGGAACTGGCAAAATGGAGTCACTGCAAACATTCAAAATGTCGTATTGTCCTAAACCGTGCCTAGTTTAATACAGATAAATATATATGTTGTTGCGCTGTGGGAGGAGTCTTAAATCAATCTAACGCTAAGTTCTGCTCAAGACTGCACAGGTTATTACTCACTTAAAATACTAATTTCTGTTGTTGGCTTTAGTTCAAATTACATTTATTTATTCATTTGAAAATTTTAACCAGTCAAATAAAGCTTAGTTTTGATTTCAAGTCAATCATGTTGTTCCATTTTTAAGCATCTCCATGAAACTATGGCCTGCAGAGGTGCAAGTTTCTCAGTTGTCCTGAGAAAAATCCATAAAAAATGTAAGAGTGTGGCTTGTTTTGACAAATTTCAACATGAGTCACGAATACTCAGGATTCTTACACCTTTGAACAAGAATTTTCGAGCTGCATAATTTTGATCCCAAAATACTAGCTTGTGACATGTTATCACAAATAAATTCTCAGACCTTAAGACATTACCTTTTATAACTAGTCACAGAATTATGACCTCTAATATATAAGAACTGTTTTATCTTCTCTTCAGATTTTACAGTCCCTTAATAATAGGTAAATGTTGAACTGCAGTGTCAGAAAAATGGAGAAATTCTGTTGATTTTGGATACATGTCATGGAAGAGTTCTGTTTGCTTCTGCTGATGAAACCTAAAGATCCCCACTTCATCAGTTAGCATAGTATGAATGCATATTGCTAGAGGGTCATTAGTAATGCAAACTTTACTCTGAGGTGGATTTTGATAGGACTTTAGCCTCTCTGTGATGCAACTGCAATGAGACCTCAAACCTGGTGTTTCTTAGAATGTGAAAGTAAAAGGCGCATGATGGTTTTCATATTTCAAAAGTAAAAACATCCTGTGAGAAGGGGACATGGTGCACAGAGATTGAATAAAACCATGTCGCATTGCAGTCACTCATTCCAGTGTTCTTTGAGATGAACCACGCAGCTCTCCTTATTGTTGTTCTCCAACTTTGTGGAAGTAAGATTGCTTTCTTATTCCTAGCTAACATATTTCCTTTTTTTTATTGCATCATGGCAGATATCATCACAATTCACAAGTGTGTTACTGTGTGGTTCAGACAAATTTTACATCTTCAATGTTATTCATAAATTAGAAATAATAATGTTGTCTAGGGTTTGGGGGGTTTTTTAGTGAACTTTTTCTTCAGTGTTTTGCTTGTAGCACTGCCAAAGTTATTTCTGAGTTTTTCTATAATTTCAGTTTTCAATTACATTAATTCTGAAACTGCACTTTTGTGTGTGCTTTAGCCAACGTGGAAGGAAAGTTTGTGGATTCAACTGTAAAACTTACTGAGAAGGTGAAACTGGAATGCATATATCCAAACAAAGCTGTGATAATTCAGACATCCTGGCTGAAACTTAATGTAACTCATAAAGAAAATATAGCTGTCTTGCATCCAATCTATGGCATACATATTGAAGACAAATACAATGGAAGAATTTATTTTGAAAATGTTTCCAGGGAAGACAAGTCCTTATCCTTTATCAAGAGCACTTTGGAGGATGTTGGTCTTTACTTTTGCTCCATTGTAACTTACCCAGATGGAATTTGGGAAAAGGCAATAGAAATTATTCAGCCAGGTAAGTAAATCTCTCACTGTTTTTAAATTTTATGATATATGCAAAACAGATATCCATGCTAATTTAGGGAGTTTCTGGCATTGTAATTTTTCTTTTCAATAGTATAGCATGCAGAAATGGAGTAATCTGGGGAAAAGAACTAGCACGACAGAAAACAATTATATTACTTTGATAAAAGATCATTTTAAGAGAAGGAGGAAGATAAGAGAACTGGAAGAGACAGACAGATAGCGCAACAGCAGTGTATTACATGGCAGGTTATTGCAACAGTGATTTTTCCATTGGGCCAAGGTTCTCATAGCATTTCAACAAGCTATAGGATCTCTTCAGAGGGTGAAATTGTAACCACCCATGAAATTACACGGATGAACCTTGTAACTACCCATGGAGATTACCATATTTTTATCATTATGTTATTGTTGTTTTTTTTTTTTTTTCTAGAAGCTCTTCTGTGCTTACTTTTTCAGGAACAAAAGAACCATTTATGAATGGTGTGGTGTCAAAAGACAGGGAAGTAGGGAAGTTTAAATGAAAAAAAAAAGGACCTTTTCTTCGAAAGGAGACTTTTTTTGAAGATGGAAAAGAGAAGGGGGAAAGAAAAAGATCCATTTGCACCCATGTATTTTCTGGGTAGCTGCCCATGTACTTTCAAAGGCTCTGTAATTACCTGACCACTCATGCAGTTTGGTTTCCTCTTCAGCTTTATAAGTAAGAGGAGAAACCCCTTTTCTAGTATTTTTATATACATGCCTATTCAGCACTGGTCAACTGACAACTCCAGTGCAAATTACCAACCTTCTCTGATAGAAGTCCTTAAAAGATCATTATATACATATCTTCAAAGGATAACTAGTTTTGGTTATTGTTTTGTTGATTTGATATTGTGAATATAGAAAGAATCTGTTCCTCTTTCCCATTCTCCATAGTGAAAATAGACTTCAATCAATATTTTATTATACTTCACAGCTAGGAAAGAATGAGTTGAAAGGAAAATTTAGTTCCTAGCATTTGAAAGAACAGAAGATAAAAATAACAGTTCTTTTCCTAGCCTGATCTTTCTGAGTCTTATTTCATCTACACTTCAGTAATTTCAATGTTATAATTAAACAGTGGACCTGAGTCTTATAGGAGATATCTAAACTTCAGAAATTCAAGGTATATTGTTCCTGCCTTCACCACTTAAGGTTTTTGAAACTTGATTTTAGCCAGCATGTTTGTTGATGGCACTGATGAAATAGGAATCCCAATCTGTCTTCCTATCTCTGCTAGCTTTTTATTAGTAAACATTGCTGTTCATCAATGCAGAAATTAAGCCACACAAAAATTACTGCCCTGACTTTGGGAAAAAAAAAAAGTAATTCTCTCTCCCCCAGATCGTTTAGTTAGATAAGATAGTTTGGACCTGAAATTATTTTTGCTGTTGTGACACTTTGGCGCACCCATACAATTCACAGTCATTCACATGTACTGAAAGAGGTGAGTGGGGTCCCTCAGGTCAGGCTTGTGGTCCAGGTCAGGGTTCCTCATCTGTGATTCTTTTAGTGGCGTGTCTGAATGCTTGCTTTATTCTGGTGTCTTTTTTATTACGTAAAGAATAACGTTACTGAAGTAGTAACTCCCTAGTTTCTTTTTCTCTGGCAGTCCATTTAGTGCACAATATTAATGTAACTCTAGGCATTAGAAACATACTTTTTGGCTGCATTCAAATAAATCAAGATCTGGAAATCCAGGTTGCTATTTACAAAAATGAACAGGCAAACTAGATTTCTTATGGGGTTTGGTCCAACCTGAATTCTGGCAATGCTGAGCCCTTATTCACAGTACGTTCATTTTCTATAAAATGCTAGAAGTCGGATGCAGTAGAGAACTGCAAGTTCATTTAGTTCTTTTCCTGGCCAAGGCAGTACTGAACTCAGCTATTTGTTCTTCAATGTATTGGCTAGGTTTAATCTGAAATGATGCAAGAAACAAGGCAGTCAGTTTCCTGTGGGATGTTACCCTTCAGTCCGATACCTTTATTAGGCAAACCACACAAAAGCAGGATCAGTTGTCAGAGGTATGGTTTTTTAAACCATACTGTGGGATTCAGTATTCTCAGTATGTAGGATTTCTCTCTTGGTTTGAACACATTCAAACACTCACCTAAACCAACAGCAACCCCCCCATTTTTCATGCATATCGATTTAATCCTTCTACAGAGGGAGGTGATAATGCTGAATAGAAATTAATCCTTTTCCATTTAAAGAATCAAGGTTTCTGAGAACAGGAACAATCAATCCTGTTCAGCACCTGATAGATGTGAATAAACATGAACTTTACATATACTGATCTGAAGAGAATGAAGTGTTTTGCCAGTGAAGATAAAATATTACTACTTCAATCTGCACTGAAAATTAAATATTATTAAAACCTGAGTTTAGAGAAGGTATTATTTATGTAGTAGTTATAGTAGAACGGTTACCAGTCAAGCTTGATCTTACTTCACTAGCACCTTCAGTACTAAATATTTTAAACTCCCTGGATGACATCTTGCTTTGATTAAATCAACAGTAAACTTCAAATGTACTTCCATTCAGCCAGTATTTTAGCTTTTTTCTTCTTTGTGTTCCAGCCAGCAAAATTAGGACACTGATGTTCATCTTTAAAGCTTTTTTTATTCTGCACAAGGGAAAAAGCTCTGAGAAAGCTGAGTGTTAGTCTCATAATTTCACTGGACATGGATCATGTCCAATAGGATTAATACACATAAATAGTTGAGGTCCTGGAAAATGAAGTGTTTTTTAAGGAATCTGATATTCTCTGGTATAAAGGAATCTGGCCAACATACTAGAAAGATCATTTTATAGGTAATTAGAACTTTGTTTCAATTACATTGTTTTCTTTGGTTGGGATTTATGATTTATTGATTCCCAATAAACATTACTTTTCTAAAGGCCTACACTACCTCAGACAAATAAACAACTCACTGCAAAATCAATTCCTTCTGTTTATAACAGTTAATCAACAAACATTTAATAGATTATTTTTTTTTAAGCAATTGCATGGTGTCTAATTCTTTGCAATTTGTGGGTTTAGTTTTAAAGATTAGTTGGCTAAGCTAAAGTTGTATCTGCCTTTAAATGGATGCAACTTTGTGGACACATAATATTCAACATGAAACTTAAACTAGTTTTGGTATATTGGCATAGATGAAGTTAAGTTGATATTAAGGTTTGTGTGTCAATCAAAACTGAAGCCTGGTTTATAATTTAGTTTATGCTACCAGGGCATTGAAAATTGTCAGGATTTATCTATATTGACCTGTTACTCTGGGACCCAGAGACATTCCTGCACTAACATAAGCAGGTAAATATGCCATTGAGGAAACTGCAGTGCATACCTCTATGAAAGCTAGCAACAGAATATAGACATGGAACATATGACTGACTTTCAGAATATCCATTGAATGGAAATAGAAGAAATAAAAGGAAATATTGCCATATGGCATTATACTCATGATGGAGATTCTCAACTAGATTAAAATATAAGGTGAAATGTTCTTCGCATGGCAATCATATCTGCTGGCAGTTATGTAAATTTGGATAAAGTATCTTGGATTAACTTTTTCTGGCTTGCAAAGCAATGAATGTTTCTGCTCTCAAACTGTTCAGAGTTGTTCTAGTGCTTCCTTCCTGGTAATCACCAGAGGTCATGAGTCTGATTTTGCTTTCCCTATGTGCTTTGTATTATTTTTTAAAACTATGAATACAAAGTGAGTAAAAGTGGTATGATTCTGATTTGTCAACATTTTTCATTTGCATAGTTTAAAGCTTCAAGTGCTGATGCTTAATGATTAATTAATAAATATTTCAAGTACTGTCTAATGGTTACAGTAGGTCAGTAGATCCAGCAACTCAAGTGTTAACAAGACCCTGACACTACAATATTAAGCAGTATAAAAAGTTTGGGGATCATGACTTGCTTTTATAAACATAAACACAGAAAGAGAAGAAACAAGTCAAGTATTTGAAAAGCATTAAGCAGGTTTCTTTTTATTAGTATTTTGACAAATCAGTATTTTTTTCCCTTTAGAGTAAAGGTGTCTTTATAAATAAAAAGTCCACTGTGGTTACATCCTTTCATATGTGATTAAAGATGCTATTGAGTGAATAAAAGATCAATAGAGATTTGCAGTGTATGAGGTGGCAAAATAATGCTGGAGAAACTCTTATTTAGGACTCTGCTCCTGGCTTAGTCTCTGGTTGCAGAACAGCAGTTCACTTCACCCAGGTCTGGGTGGGGTGAATGCAGTTCTTTTTCAGTCAGGGACAAAAGTAAAATAAAAAAAAAAGAAACAAACCCAAACAAACCTGAAAAGATTAATCTGGGATAAACAATGGCTGAGCAAAGGACCTGAGATCCCAGGAGACTGAGGAGGTTATAGCTCTCATTACAGAGGTCTTCTCTTGGTGTACTGTCCTCATTGCATCACTGGCAGATGGAAGACCCTAGAAGTGGTGATAAATTTTTGATGTAATTATTGTAGAAATTGATTTTTTTTTTCTAGATGTGGTCTGAGCTTAGACCTGGGGCTGTATCAGGATATATAACACAAATGTTAGCACAGATTTTGTTCTTTTTGCTTTAAATTTTGGCTAAAGATTTCCTACAACATTTATGAAATAGGTGAGAAAGAACTCTTGCAGACTGCATGTTATCCATGCTTTCTTTATTGGCAGTTACTGAAACATTCCGACAGAGTAGCAATAATACTCAGGATATTATATTGGAAACTTCACATGTTATGTAGCTACAGTACGTTCTTACAAATGGATGCAGTGCTGAAATTCTGTAACATAATTGCAAAGAACTTGAGAGTATGTTCTGCCATGGTTACACATGAATATATTGGCAAAGAATTCTCTAGTTATCCCTCGGGAAGATATTTGCCAGCTGGGTGAATCTGTTGCTTCTTTTTTTCCTGTAGTGTGAACATATATCCAGCAGTTTTCAGAACTGAA